TGAAACAAAATTAATATTGTATATGATAACAGCAGCAAGATTGTTGATAGGTAAATATTGGAAGAATGAAGCTTTGCCTACTATCGAGGAATGGACTTCGAAGATGGCTAGTTTTGCAGAGATGGCGAAGATTTCAGCATATTTAAAAGATTGTTCACAAGAGACTTATGAATGGGAATGGAAAAGGTGGATAGAATATGTTCAGAACAAATACCAAATTAGAAAGTATCAAATAGCTTTTATTTGAAAACAATGTATTAGAAATATTTTAATATAAAGAGACAAAGAGGGAAAATTATGTAGGGGGAGGGATGGGTTCAGGTATATATATCATAGGCAGGCAGATTTCTTTTCTTTTTCCTCACCAAAAAAGGTAGGTGCAAACAATGGGAAATTTAGGGCAAAAGAGGAGAGTTCAAGATTTTAAAACACAAAAGAAAAAAAGCTCTATTTAACTAGGGAATTGTAATAATTGAGATACTATTAATTGTATATTTCTGAAAGCAGAAATGGTTAAGTTGTGGTTTGGAGGAATATATGGGGGAAATTATTTGGTTTATTATTATTGGTAAATATAATTAATTGATTTGTAAGAAATTGGATTGCATGGAAATAATTGGAATATTCATGTTCATATTGATTAATATACAAAAAAGATAGTTATATAACTAATTGATTTATATTAAAATGTTGAATTTGTATTAAACAACTGTATTACATAATTAACCAATGTGAGGATGGATATAAAAATAGATGACAATGCAAAGGGGTATAATATAGAATAGAAGGGAAAAATTGAATTTGATTAAGATTAGAGATGAGGATGAAGGGTAATATTGGTTTTTTTAAAAAATAGATGAGGAATAAATATGGTAAAAAGGAAATATAGAAATTGTAAATTTAATTGAAATGACTAAATACTGTGTTGGAAGACATATCCTTCTGGGTTCTGCTCCAAGTGGGGAAAAAGACACTGGAAACATGGAGACTGTTTGGAAAGATGTTTTAATAGTGGACAGGATCACATGGCTTGATGGGGCCCATTGTGTTAGTTTCTGTTGCTATTGTGTTGCAAATGTCCTTTGACAAAGGATTGACTTTCTGCCTCTGGCCCATTAACAAAGGGTGGGGGGCAGGAAGGTGGGAGCTGCTTTGTCTGTAAAATATGCTTCTCCATTTCTCATCCAGGGAAATATAATATTCTGCCTTTTTAATATTTCCCAAAATATTTCATTCTTCTAGGAAAGGGGTGGCTGCTAACCTCCTACAACTGTTTAAATTTGTGGACCGGCCAAATACTCTGTTCAAAGAAAATATGTTGTATGTTTGTATGTGTGTTTCTAATTATTGCTATTTATTCCTATTTGTTCTCTTTTATTCTTTAAAGTTTAACAATTCATTCTTTATCTTAATATCTTTATATTTGTTTGGGGTTGGCTTTCTTCCCTTTCATCTTTTTTATTGTACAGCAATCTTTCTCCTCAAACCTACCACCTTTGTCTTTTCTTTCTTACTTACTTTCTCTTCCCCCCCTCTTCTTCTTCTCCCTACTTCCTCTTTCTCCTTCTCCTCCTCTCTTCCTCCCTCTCTTACCTTCACTCCTATTCTAATTTCCCTTCCCTTCCTTCATCCCTCTCTATTGCTGTATCCTTTTATGCATATGGACTACTCAGAGGGCTGAAAAAGTTATTTTTGACTGGTCCTCGCACTTTTGACCAGTCATCGAATTTACGACTGTCCTCACATTTTACGTTTTTTGCCCTATCTTATACCATGTTGAAGAGAAGCAGTTGTGAAATGAGTGACATGGTTGTTAAGACTGCTGCACAGGCATAAATGTGAGGATGGTCATAAGTGTGAGGACCAGTCAAAAGTGCGAGGACCTGTCAGAAATGACTTTTTTTCAGCCCTCTGAGTAATCCCTATACACATAGCCATGGCCACCCGGTCACATGACCAGCTAGCCATGCCCACTCGGTCACATGACCTCCAAGCCACGCCCACAAAATAAGCCACACCCACAGAACCGGTAGTAAAAGAAATTTAGAACCCACCCCTGGTTGGGGGTCACCACAACATGAGGAACTATATTAAAGGGTCGCGGCATTAGGAAGGTTGAGAACCACTGCACTAACCTCATCATTGCATATAATTCTGCACTGAGCATAAATTGCTTATCCCATCCCCTCCCTCCCCAAGAGGGTTGTATTGGCCAGGAGCAGAGAGTAATTTATGTTTAGGAAGAAAAAGGGTTTGTCTGTCTGCAAAGCAAGCAGAAAGACCACGAGCAATCCAGCAAAGTGGTCTGACTCGATTAAACTGCTAAATGACGGAAACTATAGAAAAGTCTTCTTTCTGATAAAAATACTGCTGTGGTGCTTCACATTCTGGAAGAACCAAGGCCAACAGAAATGGGAAAGAAGCAAGAAAACAGTCATGGGTCACCCAAAGATGCTTTTTCAAAAGGCAACTGGACTTTGTTTCTCCTTTGAGATGTTTTTTCCTTGAAAACGTTTCGCTTCTTGGATGAGAAGCGAAACATCTTCAAAGAAACCGAAGTCCAGTTGCCTTTTGAAAAGCATCTTTGGGACAATCATGACCTGGATGACTGAGAATCTCTATAGACATCTAGTCATGGGTCACCTTTCTATTAAAGCAAGTGCTCTTTTACTAGATTATACTGGGAAAAGAAATGTGGTGTAAACTTCAGAAGCTATTCAGCATTGCAGCATGACTTCTCTCAAGTGTCTATGATGCTACATTAAACAATGTAACTACATTACATTTAAGTCATTAAGCTAATGGCTTAAACTTCCAAATGCATTATCTGTTCATAGGAATTCTTTTCAGGAACTTGGAAAGCTAAAATATAGGGTAAAATTCTCATTACCTAATGATTATCACTTTTGAAAAGTTTTCATTTACTTTCTTAAAGAGCAAAAGAGTCCTAGAAAAATAAACAGAATGTTTTTTTGCAAGAGTGAGTAATGTATCTGGAAGAAAGCCTAAGACACTGCACACTTAATAGCGGGAGTAAAAACACAGGAAAGGAAGTTCAGAAGTAGCCAAAAGGACAAAGGATTAAACATGAAAAAATAGTTCCCAATATCCCGCAACAAAACAATGTGGCAGAGAGGAAAACCAGAATCTAATGCAAATGACCAGAAGCATGATTCTCCATGATGGACTAACAAAGTAATATTGGGGAAAAGTAGTAATGTTTACAACTTCTAGTACAATCTACCCATAAAAGACAAAGATGAATCAAAGATGAAAGGTGGTATAAGACCAAACCAATGTGAAGCACATTGTGTTGGAATTCAAGGTGTATGTATATATTTAATACCTCATATAACTATCCTCTTCACTCTGCAATGTAATATACTTAAGATATGAAGATATTAAATAGACACAAGAAATATATAATCTCCAGCATTCTATTAAAATATACCATGAGGCATATTTTGATGAAGACAAGGACTGAATATTGAGCTTTCATTTAGAAATGCCAAGATGAAAAACAATAGTGCAGCTTTCATACCAAGAAGAAATTATTGAATCTTCATAATAAAGAAGAAATGGAAGTGATGCCAGAAACAAAGGCCACTAGAGACCCCCAACCATAGATAAGATACTCAACTCAAGGCAATGCCTTCTAAATGATTTCTCTTCAAGCCAGAGAGGAAGATAGATTTTCCCACAAGGCACCACATGGAGGGAAGACAAATATCTACATGCTGGTAGAAAAGATATTGAATTATTTTACAAGAAAACACAGATTTTCACAGAGGAACAAAAAGAGAGGAAGTTCTTTGGATACAAATTGGTCTTCGCAATTAGTGTGATGAAGAAGACAATACAGTGTCTAATAATTCTACAAGACGAGATGGGTTGCCAAGAGATACTCCCCAAAACATGGCAAAGATTGCAACAGAATCTTTGTACCAATGGTGAAACACACTTTGATAATAATATTCTTCACTAGTTTAATTTAATTAAATGTCTCAATGTCAAAGAACTCAGAAAAGCTTCAAGAGGAATGTTGCTTAATACCTATATGTAAAGACAACTTTCTTATATAATAGAAGAAATATATGTAAAAGCCACCATGATACAAATAACTTGAAAAATAAAGACTTGTTCAAGTTACAGAAGAGTGTCCATGAATTCAAACATGCAACTTGATCCTTGTCTATACACCAGATGCAAGAATGAGAAATATACATTGACATTGTTGTTTCTCTGCATACACATTATTTTTATGGGGCATAAGCTATCTCCCTCAACTTTAAGAAATACTGTAAAGCAGAAACACTTTGATGATTAGACATGATAAGTCTTAAATATTTAATAATAATATTTTTAATATTATTATTTGGGTTCAGCCCCACCTACTTTTTTGAGCCTTCACTTAGTTTTCATTCTGACCCACCTATTTTTGTGAATGCAGATTTTTAGCTATTCTAAGAAAATATTGCCTACTCCTAATATAAGGAAATGTTTGGGAACTACTTTTACTTTTGTGAAGTATTCTCAAATAATTCTGTGCTACCTCTTTGATTGTGGTTGCCCTGTGCCATGTCTCACTTAGAGCCCTGACTGGGGACAAAATATATGTGTTCCGTGGAGCAAATAGATTACTTTTAAAAAAAATATTCAAGGGGTTATTCTTTCTTTTCTTTACTTCTGGATAAGGCATGTCATCATTGTAATTTTTGCTTCTTGCTTGTGAATCTTCTATACTTAATTTGCAAGCAGGAGCTTCTTCTGTACTTACTGTAGGGGAAATCTCCAGCCAACATCATGACCAAGATCATGGCATGCTTCCAACTCTTTATAGTTAATCCTCAATTAACAATGGGAATTGCAACTGGGCTTCCCATTGCTACAGAACGTGCTTAGCAAGAAAAATCCTTGCAACCCCAATTGCCATCCCGCTGGTCATTAGGCAAGAGCTACCTTGTATGAATCACCCTTCAAGATTCTATTACCAGGCATACCTTTTTTCCTGAAAAAGACTTTTTCACAACTGGTAGCAGTTCGTTGTTGAGGAATGTCCCTTCAACTTCAAGTTCACCGATGTCTTGAGGCTCAAAGATGTTTGCTTCAATCTGTAACATTGATTTAAAATTATGTTGACATTAGAAAGACCAACAAAACAAACAAACAAATAAACAGATAGACCAGTAATATAAACTGTAAGAAAGCATTAAAAAAAGAATTAATTTCATGGTTATTCATACATTTGTTTCTAAATTAATAGTTCTGAGCATCATTCACAAACTTTTCCAAAAGCTACTAGAAGATAAAGTGACAATACATTTGATCATACCTCAAATTTATTGACAAGCTGCTTTGGGTTTACTTTGATAAACATCTCATATTTTCCAAACTTTCTCTTCAAGATTTCTTCATAAGTTAATTGAAAAGTAACTTTGCTGGATGATGCAATGTTACTGAAACACTGAATTTCTCTGTTTTTCTTCCAACAACCCTTCACATGTTAAACATAGTAAGATTCATAAGATTCAAGCGATGATCACATTTCCTCATGCTCATATAGCCCACCACTTAATACTTTCATTTGCACTTTGTTCATTTATTTAGCATCTGTTTATTGAATAAATACTTAGACAGGAAATGAAATGAGGAAACAGATTCAGTGTAGCCTCACATACTTACTTCACGAGCCCTGCAGTCTGGAAACTGCTTGTTGATACTGTTTTTGGGCAGCTTCTTTTTCCTTTAGGATTCCAGGATAAGTGACACCATCAACTGTCCTGTTGAAAGATACATTGGATATCGGAATATGTGTGCAGAGATGTTATTGGGATTTTTTTGCTTCAGTTCATCAAGTAAAGGAGATATTTGAGAGGTATAACAAAGAGACTGGAAAGAATGCTGCCTCTATAGGACTGAAAACATACTGAAGAAAGATGAAGGAAGGCCTTCTCTGGATATTGCAGAGCAGATTGGTAGAAACTCTAACCAGAGGGCATGTCTATTTCAGAAGAGCTTATGCAACAGGAGGCCACATTTTGGATGATCATTAAAAAGAATGAAGGTAAGAAAAATGCTGTGATGGAATCAGTTATCTAGATTGGTAAGAATGGAGAGGTTATGAGGGTGGCCTTAGTTTTAGGTTTCCTATTTTGAGCACATAATTGGATTAGGTGGCAACAACGTCTTCTGTAACTCTATGATTCATGGTAGTTATTCTGTTAACAGTATCTGAATGGCTTAATTATTGCTAGACTGATCTCCAAAGCATATAAAAATAGGAAAATAATGCACATACAAGGTAAAGTTTGAAATGAAGGCTGTTTTGGGGAGCTCCACATCAAACTGAGCTTCCTTGGACACATTGGCACGATTCACAGCTCGACTAGTGATGACATTACGGGAAAACCTGGAAGTAACACTGCAGTCTATTTTCACCCAGTAGATTTCTATGGCGTGAGTGTGCTAGAGAATAGAAAAGTCACATGGTTATCCAGAAATGTGCTGCTAATATATTATCTTCATTTTAAACACTTTTATTTCAGATAGCACAAGCATCTTTCTATGCCTCACGTTACATAAGTAGTGTTTATTTTAATGCTAATTACATTTGATTAATGTTTTATTTACTGACAAAATGTTAATTAAATTACAACTGACCCCAATCATTTTCTTGTTCCATTCCTGTTATTTTTTAAAATGAAATCCAAAGGCCACATCTAGAGAACTATATAATGGACTATATAATGGGGGAATTTGTGGGTCAGATTTTTATCTCTGATCCTCACAGTTGTTTTGTATTTTTAAGAAATTTTACTTTCTTTCCATGAAGGGAACGCAAACAGATATTTGTTACCCCCTGAATCCATGCATGAGGTAGTCTCCTTCATAAAAGTGAGTGATGATGCCTTTGCACACTTGCATGTGATGGGTACTTTGCAAGAGTGAATGAAATATTTCGTTTGCTCAGCATTAAAACATCCCTTAACACAAGAGGACTGATTTCTGAAGAAATAAACAACTTTCTAGCTGAATAAATGATTTCTTTAAGCCCAGCAAAGGTTACTTACCACATCAGTGGTACTTCTCTCCTATAAATAAAGAGTGAAAAAAAGGATTAATTATTGCCAAACAACAGATGCCATATTTTACCAAAAATGCTGCATAATAGTTGTATGTTATTACACATTTCTCTTCATTTTAAGTGAGAGCATCATAATAAATGAGAGCTTCCATAAAATGAAGTCTGAATAATCAGTAGGCATAACCTTGGCTGGGTTCTTACCAAACAAAGCCCCACCAGCTTATCAGCTTGTCTAATTTCAAAACATTAATTACATGAGCAGAAAATAACAAACATCTGGTAAATATACCATAAATTACCATACTAACTAGGATAAATACCTTTACCTTATAGTTTTTCTGGTGTTCCTCAGAGGCACTGAATACTAGACTGATTTCATATTCTTCCCATGTCTGTGGAGCTGCCTCAATTCAATTTTTGGTAACTTACGTATGAATCCAGGTGTGGTGGATAGCTCTCTCATGTATGTATGTATGTATGTATGTATGTATGTATGTATGTATGTATGTACCACTATGTATCCCTTTCAAACATCCCACGATTACACACTCATAGATGCAAGTACTCCTTGCTTTATCTGATTCATTCTTTCTCAGTTCAGTGGCTTCCCCCCCAAAATGTTGAACTATGCAACATGATGTACAGCATATGAATCCAAAGAAGCTAAATCAAGTCTGGATCCAACACAGTCCCTCTTAGGACACCTATCAGCCACTCAGGGAGTTGCTGACAGGTGTTGTGAGGGACCAAAGCACCTTACTGGCTTCAAATCAAATCTTCATTATTGTCATAAACTAGCATAACTTTGCCTGCTTCATATTCAAATGCAGCACGTCTGAGCCAGGCAGCTCAGGGCACGAAATTTCATAGGCAACCAGTTTCCATGAACTTTAGAATTTGAGCCAAATTAAGCATGCTGGTTGAAGGCTGAAGACGTCTTGAAGGATCGAGATAGTGGATTTGCAGTTGTTGCTTAAAGCTAAAAAATTCTGAGGAAATAAGTAGGTGACTTCATATATTTAGCTACATACCTTAATGTTTCTTAATGGATTTATCAAAATATCTGAAATTACAAGAGCAGGAATCAAGGCCAGTAAAATGTAAAATGGGATACGCTTCCCCATGTTGGAAGAAAAATAAAAATGTCAACTTGGAAGGACCTTTATTTGTAGTGAACTTTGTAAGTAGTCAAAGAGTAACACTGAAGTAACTATGGCAAATATTTATCTTTGGAAAAGTTGATGACATTTCTACAGGAAGTTAGATAGTCCAAGGCCAGAAAAGCACATTTCAGCCTCTAATCTATTAAGCCCAGGTTTACCTGCTGTGCTCTAGAATACCTTTAAAATTAAATCTCAAATGAGACTTCACATCTGTTTCACCTCCAATATTGGAATGTGTGGGAGTAGGAATACAGATGAAAAGCCAAACTTCCAGCAGCAATGTTTATTGCAGATAATGACTCAGTAAAACCAACATGCAACTTCTGGCTGATAGCCCCTTTTAAAGGAAAACTATCAGCCTTTAACCAATAACATTAAAATACAGTATGTCCCGCACCTGCATGGCAGAAGAAAAGTCTCTGCTCATCCCTGCGTGGACATAACAAATATGGTCAGAAGATTTCTTCTGAGACTTCTTGAACTAGCACTTTGATCACCTGGATACATTTCTCACTGGAGACTACTATTTCAATTAAAGTGATTATGTTTTTATGCATGTAAATTAGGACAGGTGTCTCTCCAACCTTTCTGGCTAGTGATAATTTGGAATTGTGAGCGCACTATGTGTGAGCACTATGGCTGCCAAGGGAACTGACAGGGATTGCTGGTCACCAAACAAAAATTGTTAGATGATATCCAGAGACATTTATACTCCTGCATTGAAGACTCTGGAATTAGGATGTGCACACTTTATGAAAATCTATTGTTCCTTTATTGGATTTTATTTGCCATTTCTTTAAAAGAAATATTTTATTCTTTTGCCTTCCTTATTCTGCAGTGTACCAGTAGCTGTCCCAATATATAAGATACACTGGTTTCTGAAATGAAGTTTAGACTGTATTTCATTTGGCAATTCTCTTTCTTCACTTGATATAATTGAAAGTAGTAGAATAGCATTTTCCAATTATTAAAGTTGGGGGTGGGGACGACGACAGGAAATACTGTCCAGGTGAATTCCACTAATCTATTTTCAGCTTCTTTGCCCCTCTTTATAATTTGAAAGTTAAGCTTCTTTAGTAATTCTGAACAATCAACACAGTTGCTGATATTCAACTCTGGAGGATTGTGAACAGGGGTAAAATTTAAATTTTTTCCCTACTGGTTCTGTGGGCATGGCTTGCTGGTGGTGGTCCTGTGAATGAGTGGGTGTGGCCAACTTGACATTACTCACGTCCATGCCTACTCAGTCACATGACCCCCCCCCCCAACCAAGCCACGTCCACAGAACCCAGTAGAAAAATTTTTTGAATTTCTATTCTACCTATTTCCTGTCCAGGCCTGGCCTAATCTGTCAAAGGCCTCCCACTCTCCCTTCGCCAGTCCCGTTTCCCCTCCTTCAAAGGCCCTGGCCCTAGTCTCGCTTCCTTCCCCACGACCACCTCTTTCTTTGAGCTTACCTTCCTCCCATGGTGGCTGGTGGCAGGCAGAGGTGAAGGCAAGCCAGGGCTGAGCCATCGCTACTGGACTCCCCGCCAGCCCACATCTCACCCCCCTTGTTGCGAGATGCCTGCAGCCGCTGCCTCTTGCTTTCAGTGCAGCTGGATGCTTCTTGCGCTGAAAAAGACGGTGGCTGCAGGCTTATTGCAGTGAAAATTAGCACAGCCACTCCGCTTCTTGAACGTGTCGCCACCCTGTTCCATGCCCTGGCCACACTGGTGCATACTATTGCCTGCTGCCACTGCACTGTGCTGGAAGGAGCCCAGGCAAGTCCTTCTGGTGCAGTGGCAGCAGGCAACGATGTGTGTGTGCGCGGACAGCGCATGGAACTGGGTGGCGACAACATGTTCAAGAAGCAGAGCAGCTGCGGTAATTTTCGCTGCAATAAGCCTGCAACCGCCGTCTCTTTTTCAGTGCAAGAAGCATCCAGCTGCACCAAAAATAAGTGGTGGCGGCTGCAGGCATCTTGCAACAAGGGGGGGAAAGATGCAGGCTGGAGGGGAGCCCAATGGTGATGGCTCAGCCCTGGCTTCCCTTCCCTGGCAGCCAGCCATGGGAGGAAGGTAAGGACGTGTCGCGTGGTGAAGGGAGAGCAGGCAGCGGGCGGTGAAGGCTCCAGGGCCCTGCTGGAGCCAGGGAATGGCGTATTCCCTGACCCGGTTGAGGTGTGCAGGAGCTCCAGGGCCTCGGGGAATGGCGCGTCCCTGGCCCCTGGCCCCTGACCCAAGGTGAAGGGCGAACGGACGGCATGCATTGCTTACCTTTGGTGAGGTGAGCAGGAGAGGCAACTGGTGAGATGATTAGCTGGGCCGCATGGCAAAGGCAATATATATAGGGTGGGGATGGGTGGGGCCAACCGGGACCGGAAGGGGTGAGCTGCAAGCTGCCAAAAGGGGTGAGCGGTGAGCTGGCGAGCAGCCGGGGTGGGTGGGGCCAACCGGGGTGGTTTTTACCAGTTCAACAAACCATTGTTGACTGATGATTATAAAAAATATGAAAAGGAACTCCAGAAAGACCCACATAAGAAAGAGGTCAAAATTAAAATGGATATAATAAAGCATAAAATGGGTCTACTGGAGAAGGAAGAACTAGCTCAAAAAATAAGAAATGCAAAACAGAATTATTTCGAAAATGCGAATAAAGCAGTAAAATGGCTAGCATATAAATTGAAAAAGGAAAGAGAATCAAAAATAATACAATTAATTGATGACCAAGGACAAAGTAAGCATGGAAATAAAGAGATGGGGAAAATAATACAAGAATACTATAGACAACTCTATAAAAGAGAAAGAATAGATGATGAAAAAGTGGCAAGGTATTTACAAAAAGCAAAATTACCACAGATTCCTAAAGACATCGAGGAGATGTTGGAAGGGAATATAACGATGATGGAATTAACAGAGGCAATCAAAAAGCAGAAAAATGGAAAGGCACCAGGACCAGATAGCTTGCCGGTTGAATATTACAGGATACTACAAGAATCTTTATGTCTTCCGTTATTGGATGTTATGAATGAAGTAATGACAAAAAAGGAAATACCCAAATCATGGACTGAGGCTTATATTACATTGATTCACAAAGAAGATACAGACCCACAACAAATCAAAAAGTATAGGCCTATATCCTTGCTAAACTCAGATTATAAAATCTTTGCCTCAATATTGGCAGAAAGACTTAAGAGATATTTAAATAATTTTATACATCCGGATCAAAATGGATTTCTTCCAAAAAGACAAATTAGAGATAATATAAGAATAATGTTGGACACTTTAGAATATTATGAAGCGCATCCTGAAAAGCAGATATCAGAGAAGAAAAAGAGATAAAAGGTTTGAAAATTAGAAGAGAGTATAAATTGCAAGCTTTTGCAGATGACCTGGTCTTTATTATTGAAGAGCCATTAACATCAATAAATAAACTCATAGAAAATATTGGAGAGTTTGGGAAAGTCGCTGCCCTGAAAATTAATAAAGACAAGACAAAGATAATGACTAAAAATATGTTGAAAAAGCAAAAAGAAGAATTGATGGCGATTTCAAAGATGCAGGTCATAAACAAGATAAAATACCTGGGGATACATTTAACAGCAAGGTGTAGCTCATTAAAAGAAAATAATTATAACAAGCTTAAGCAACAGATAGGACAAGACCTGGTGAAATGGGGAAACTTGCAGTTATCTTTGATAGGTAGTATTGCAACAATTAAGATGAATATTTTGCCTAGATTGTTACATTTATTCCAGACAATCCCAATAAAGTTAGACAAGGAATTTTTTGCAGATTTGAACAAAATGGTATTGAAGGCAAGGAAAGATATTGGCAGGGAAAGAAGGCAAGAATAAAACTTAAGCTGTTACAAGATGTTAAAACAAGGGGCAGTTTTGGTCTACCTAATTTTGAACTGTATTACCAAGCAGCTAGCTTAATGTGGATTAAAGAATGGATAACTCTGAGAAATGCTAGATTGTTGAATTTGGAGGGACATGATTTGTTGATGGGGTGGCATGCCTTTCTATGGTACAAAGGAACTAAAATACAGGGGTATTTTAGAAGACAACAGATCCGTGAAGCTTTATTGTTGAATTGGGAGAAGGTTAAAAAATACCACTACTTGAAGATTCCAATCTGGGTTTCTACAATTGAAGCTTTTTCTTATCCAGTGACATTTAGAAGGGAACAAATTATTAGATATAGGGAATTGTTGGATGAAAAGGGTGAACTCAAATTAAAGCAAGAAATAGAAGAACAGGGATGTAAGATGGACTGGTTTTCATATATGCAAATATTTACCAGATATCGAGAAGATCTCAAACAAGGTTTTTACAATGCTTTGACTAATTTAGATAAGATTTTAATGGGTCCTGATGACTATGTAATTAAAAAATTATATGGTTATTTGTTAGAGGTAAAATTGGAAGAACAAGTTAAAGAATCAATGATAGCATGGGGGAAGAATTTTGGATATGGTATTGACTTAGAGAAATGGCAAAAAAAATTGTGGTCACATAATTATAAAATGATAATGTCTACAGCATATAAGGAGAATTTGTATAAGATGTTTTACAGGTGGCATCTACCCCCGACGAGGATAGCCAGAATGTTCCAGAATAAATCGGAGAAGTGTTGGAAGTGTCACCAGACTCCAGGAACTTATTACCACATAAGGTGGACATGCGCAGAAGCAAGGAGATATTGGACTAAGATACACACGTGGTTGGAAAAAATGACAAAGAGACATATTGACTTTAAACCAGATATTTTTATTAGGGATCTTACCAGAGACTTATAATAAAGAATTGCAATATTTAATTGTGAATCTTTTAACAGTGGCTAGAATTGTATTTGCTAAAAATTGGAAAGGAGAAAAGATACCTATTGATGAAGAAATTATTAACAAAATGATTGAATGTGCTGAAATGAGTAAACTGACTTTTGAAATTAGAGAACAGGAAGATAAACAATATTATTTGATATGGGACTTATT